TACCGGTTTAGGGGATTACCGTAATTTATATTTATGCTTTAGATTCTGAGTACTGTAAATCCTTCAGCTTAGGATGATACGTTATCATGGTCATCTATATTTAAATTCTGATTATTGTAAATGCGTTTTATACCATATAGCTATTGTAGCTACCTAATGTTTAGATAATTTCTTGTCTTCGGGAAGTCAGTGAGGTGAGATAGGATAGGACAACCAGTTGGATGCGATTAGAAAGGCTACATATCACCGTGGAGGAAATGGGAGGGACGGCGAAGTGATTGTATATGTTTGGTATTATTTACCTTTCTGGTCGGGAATTGTTTGTTCACCAAATGACACTACAGCGCTCAAGTCACACTAACAGCCATCAGCATCACCTTTTGACGAGTTTGGTGAAAGTGACCTCGCGAGGAATGCAGAAAGTATCGAGCATCGCCAGAGGCGTACTCAAGGTTAAACCACTAGACCTATTTTCGTCGTTTAAGATTCGATACGTGAACGACTTCTTCCACTGTTCAACTAGTCAAGTAACAATATAAAATGTCAAGAAGCCAGAGAACACACTAGTTTTGTATGACCTACAAACTTTCCTACTTTAATGGTGACAAAATTACTCAGAAAACAAGTGAAGCAACTCATGTGATGATTAAGACACATATACAACAGTTGGGTATCATTATTCATGAAACGTTTCGCCTATGCAGTAGGCTTCATTGAAATACAGAGCCAGTAGGCATTGTAGTGAAATAATGATGTAATCAGTCCATCAATTTAAATATGCTGAATTCAGCATGTTTAAATTAAAAAAAAATAATAATGTATTAAAATGTGATGCTCTTTGGATTCTTCGCGAAATTTCGAGTGAGGGGGGGGGGGATGTAGAACAGCCGGGGAAGTGACGCCGGGAAGACACCATTTGTAATTTGTAAACAATGGCTGTCGTGGGAAATTCTGCTAATAATCCAGCATCTTCCAAGCCAAATTGGGGGGGGGGGGTTACCTGGAGGTTATTCCGGGGATCAACGCCCCCGCGGCCAGGTCCATGACAAGGCCTCCCGGTGGATCAGGGCTTGATCACCAGTGGCTAGAATTAGGAACCCATGTTAATGTCCCCTGCTGAAGAATTGGGGCAGGAAATTTGCGGACCTCAAGAATTACGTGTGGATGGCGGAAGATAAGGGATATGACCACTCACTGGGAAGTGAGCCATTAGTCCTTGCATTTAGATCTCTAGCTGGCCTGTGTAGGGTCTAGGTGTCAGGCAGGTGTTGTGGTGTAATCCATCTACAGTAATTAATGGTAAGTGGTAATATGAATTTCCTTTCTAATAACACTATTGTAATTTATGTCCAATGATTATATTCTGTGCACCCAGCAAGCCTAATCATATACAGTCCACATTATTTTATAATTTACCATTATTGGTATTAATGTTTAATACTGTAATTATTAATTTAATGTCAGGTCTAGCTTTTTGTGTGAGTGGTGATGAAGTGGGCATCGAGGGAGTTACAATCCTACGACCTACTTTGACTTAGTCCCACTTATCTCACCCAAATTACTTGCCTGTAATAATTCAGGTAATACCCTGTAAACTTCATGCAGGTAATTTGCTCACATAATTCACAAAACCAACTTTGGAGAGATAGTATTGAGGTGGTCAGTCCCTTAACCTGGAGAAGAGTTCAGCTCCATGGTCTGGAGGTGAGGGACTGACCACTTCAAATACTATTTCTCCAAGGTTGATGGACTGATTACATCATCTTCATTTCACTACTATACCTACTGCCACTGTTTTTGACTGAAACCTACTGCGTAGGAAAAACATTTCACGAATAAAGATACCTAACTGTTGCACAAGTATCTTGACCATCAACTTGTCGGTATTTTATATCACTTTCAACACTCGTATTATAAACAACGGCTAAGTATTATCGTCTGAGAATTAGGTGATAGACACCCTTTCTCCCACTGGTAACTCTGGCCTTGAGCATCTAAGACAGATGATGTACCTTCAAAGAAGTTGCTAGCTTGAAATCCACCAATTACACAAGGCCCATTAAGCTGCAATTCACCTGTACATTAATTCCAGGAAAAATCCCTAAAATGGACATTAAGGTGAACTTAATGCATATACACAAATAAATCTCTCTGATTATATGCCAATGAAAATGAAGAGTTCACAACTCACAAACAGGGTTGCCAAATGTAACAAAGTGTCAAGAGGAACAACGACCCAGCCCGGGTGCTGTAAGCCTCGATGAACATGTGAATAAAAACGTTCATTTTTTTTTTCACTACCCGCATGAACAGACTTGTCAAGCAGCCACTCAGTCTGACCTAGAACCCACGGCGGTCGTCACAATGGGCTGACATGCAATTTGTACACAAGTTACATATCAGCAGTATCATCACGAGTTTTTGTAATAGGATTTACCACACGTTACGTCAAAATATTACACAATCCAGTGGATTTTGAGCTTTCTCTAAATACATAAAACTTTATTTTATCTATGATAGTTAAATCAATTATAAACCTATTACTACTATGAATAAATTCTATACAAATTAAGATATACGAAGAGATATATACCTTTGATATACATTTGAAGAATTTCGAGAGTATATCTACTCTCTGAGCCCGGCCATGGGCCAGGCTCGTCTGGTGCTCGCCTGGTCAACCAGGCTGTTGCTGCTGGAGGCCCGTTGCCCCACATATCCATCACAGCCTGGTTGATCTGGCACCTGGTTTCCTCTTGAAGGCTTCAACACTTGTTCCAGCAGTGTTTCTGATATCTTCTGGTAAGATGTTGAAAAGTCTGGGACCCCGGATGTTGATACAGTGTTCCCTTATTGTCCCCACCGCACCCCTGCTCCTCACTGGGTTTATTTTACACTTCCTCCCATATCTCTCAATCCAGTATGTCATGGCAGTGTGCAGATTTGGGACCAAGCCCTCGAGTACCTTCCAGGTATATATTATCATGTACCTCTCTCTCCTCCACTCCAATGAGTACATGTTCAAGACTTGCAGGCGTTCCCAGTAGTTTAGGTGCTTCACTGGCTCAATGTGAGCCGTAAACGATCTCTGTATTTGTTCCAGCTCCGATATCCTGCCCTGAACGGGGCCGTCAGCACTAAGCAATATTTTAAGTGAGGGAATATTTATCTTGTAAATCCACAAATTAAATAAACGTAATTTATCATGAATATAAATTTTAATAAAAGATTTAACAGAATTTAAAACAAGTTTACTTTAAATTAGATAGGGATTAAAAATGAAAACGGACTACAAATTACTCAAAGTCAGATGGCGAGATTCATCCTTGACCTGGGCGTAAGAGACTACGTAGGCCAGGAAGAATTACAACAAATGGAAATGCTTAATGTAGCAAATAGAGTAAAGCAGTTGAGCATCAACCATTCATACAAAATTGCTAACAACCAGTGTACAGATCATGGGGCAAATTTTGTCAAGGCTAGGAACCAAAGCCAACTATAATACTACCTGGAGTTTACCTGGAGAGAGTTCCGGGGGTCAACGCCCCCGCGGCCCGGTCTGTGACCAGGCCTCCTAGGGAGAGTGAACAATTTCGTAGCTTCCATGGTAGGTGGCCAGGCCTCAAACCTTTTTATTACACAGCGGAATGGATTGGCTGCTCATGTCAAAGTCCGTCTTTGATTAAATCAATTAAAGAATGGAGCTACTCAGCTATTTCCGATCTGCAATTATAGTATGAATTGCAGCTGAGATAGTACTGTGTTGCACAGATAGTAAAAAAAAAAAAAAGTAACCAAACCTAACGAAACCCACCTACCTAAAATAACCTAACGTAACTTAATCTTACATCCGCCATCGGAACTGGCACATCTTTGTTTACATTCAGCCCGGCGCGTGACACTACTAAACAGTAAGCGCTGACTGGCACAGATTCCCTGCGCAATGGAAATATATTAGTTTTGTTAATATGTCCCAAAATAACAATCTGCACAAGAAATACTTATTCATACTTATTACAGAGGTGGTATGTATTGTAAAATGGCAATTAATGCCCGAGTTCCGCCAAGTAGTGAATGAAGCTGCAGAATGGGAGGAAATTGATTTAATGCACTGTTAAGATGAATGCAATAAAGCCATGATCTAAATAGTCACTTAAACTGCTTTTCATTCTTAATATTAAGGATATACAGTTTATGTGTGCTAATACCTATGTAAATTTATATAGAACCCAACGGAAATAAAGTCAGCGACTTTACTGAATTATCCTTGGTTAAAGCTACACAATATATCTTTTATGTGCCCATAACCTCTGTGTACCGTCAAGACTAATGTAATAACATTGTATATTAAGTAGTACCAAAAGCCTAAAATAAAGACTTGCTAATTTTTAAGTCCCCCACCTAAAGTAGAACTAAATAACCCGTTTTCTATTGCCAAGGAGATTACTATTGTTTCCCACATTCTATGGTATCCAACGGTGCTGTGTTGATGAATCTAATAAATGACAATATTAAAAAAGGCGCTGGACTATGCAGTATTGTATATTACCCGGAGAGAGTTCCGGGGGTCAACGCCCCCGTGGCCCGGTCTGTGACCAGGCCTCCTAGTAAACAGTAGCATTAAGTATATGAAAAGATAACTACCCTAAATAAGGGTATTTTTTGTAGCAATTTACCAAAGCTTCTTTTTCCACATCCCCCCAACAGGCACTGCATAATCCTACGGGTTTAGTGCTCCCCTTGATTATAATAATAATAATTCTTTTCAAAAATAGACAAAAACCACTGGGCGCAGGGGCATTGATCCCCGGAAGCTACAGCAGGTAACCCACAGGTAAAATTCTGTATAGCAGATATTAAACATGAGCTCATATTCTGAGATCACATAGTGGGAAAAAGATGCATGTTCATTAAGATAAGTCTATCCATATTCTACTTAAAATTAATTAAGGAAGAAATCTATTAATCAGGCTGCACAATATATGAAAATGAGTACTCACCAAGTAGGGCTTCCAGCTTGGTGTCCAGTGCAAATTGCGGCACATAATCCTTGGATAAACGATCACAATCGATCTCCTCCTGGTATGGTGTGCGACCGTACCCAAGAACTACAATGTTGGAGCGGTCTACAGGATGTGTTGGAGGGGACATGGAGGGCGAAGTGATCATGTGGAAGGTAGCCGTGGTGGCGGCTGTGCTGCTGAAGGTCTTTACTTTATCCACTGGCGGAGAGTTAGGCGCTGGCGAGAGTGAACATTTTGGTGAAAGAGGAGACTTTGGTGACACAGGTGACTTTGATGAAAAGGTTTTTGTAGAGAGAGGAGACTTCGGTGAAGAAGGTGCTTTAGGGGTAAGTGGTGACTTTGGCGAATCTGAGCTTACTAGCGCAGAGGTTTCTTCTGTGACAGTAGCAGGGTGAGCGGTGACGGGGCCATCGTGAGGCACGGGTGAAGTGGGCGAGGCTGGAGGTTGGTTGGTAGTAGGCACAACGACGGGACTAGAATGGTAGGCCGGCGCTTCACTGTTACTGCGGCTGTAGCAACCAGCTGGTACCTCCGTGATGGTACTGGAGTGAGAGAGAGACTCAGCAACACTGGTTGACCGACTGAGTGAGTCGCTAATGGCTGTAATGCGAGAGAGGGACTCATTAATGCTGGCAGTACGAGGAAGATGAAGAGTTTCCTGCGACACGCTGCTCGACATGACCACCTCTTCTGCGCTGTGAAGAGGGTCAGCTAAACTGGTGGTGCGGGTGATGGTTCTTGGGGAATGGGTGGACACACCGCTGGGATATGTGGCTCCTGAGGCGGGCGGCCGATGCAGGGAGTCCAGGGAGGTCCGCCAGGAATGTGCAGGACTCAGTTTGCTGGGGGAAGGAGGGGAGCAGCTTCGACCTGACCCCAAAGAGGAACTGGTACCTCCGCTTGCTAAAGAAGTGGTAGAGCCATCGCTCGCCGTGGAGTGGAGAGCTGAGGACAAGGCTGGTGAGGATTGTGATGGGTGAAGCTGACGGGGTATATTCTCCTTGTCAGGGGTTAAGCTGGCACCATCTTGGGTGTGACCATGGGAGCGTCGAGCCTTTATGAATGCTCTCAACTCCTCGGCAGTGAAACTAACAGTTGTGGAGGTAGAGCGTGCATGTCCTGCCCACCCTGAAAAAACATCAATATATAAAGTTAGAAACAAAGAAAGTATTTGCCACTCATCTTTCTTGATTCTCACGGTGGCAGACTTCATATAACCACACTCTGAAGTCTAGCTTACAATATCCATCGATCAGGCGATGTTGGCACTTTTCACACAGAGGCGCTGCTTTCAAAATTGCGAGGATCTAAATCAGCATACGACTTTTACAACTCTAATGCTGAAAATGTGAGTTTTTCCAAGCAAAAGCTATCACACACGGAAAAACTTACACCTTTTGATGTTAGTATATTCCTCATAGAAAAATCACCTGATACTTTTTATATACGTATATATTTTAGTGATACTTTTGGCCATATGGCGGAGGCGAATCATTAAGCAGCTGCTGGCGTGCGGTGCTATATACAGTAGTGTCAGGTTCAATGGTGCTTGTAGCCCTATGGTGGGGGAGCGGCAAACAGCAACCGCTAGTATTCGGTGCTATGAATGGTGAACACCGTGAAGGTGAAATAGCCACTGACCCCGTATCGGGCTACGACAGCAATGGCCGCTAGCTGGGTTACCGAGTCAAATATAAGCAACACATTGTGTAGCAATAAGGAAACGCTGGAGGGTCGTAATTATTAAGCATTTGTGTGCACCTGGTGGTGGTGGGAAGACCTTGCTTGTGTGAGAGTGACCACTACCTGACATTGGTGCCACCACAACACACTTCACCCCATTCTCTGTCTATATGCCGCCCTTGACTTTTCTCAACACTATACATTAATTGTAAGTAAACTACCTCTTTGTCCGGTTTTTGTACGTAACCATAAACTAGTTAATCTTTGTATTATTTTCTCTCTTTAAACAAATCACGGAACGGGTGGGGTTTGAATCATGGCAAGCGCAAGTCCCAAAGCTCACTTGGCATGGGTTCACTGATCTTTAATTAGTTTCTAATCTCTGAACATTTAAATCAGTCTTAAATCTCAAAGCATTAAAATTAGTTTCAAATATCTGAGAATTTAAATCTGTGAACTAGTTTGTAATCTATGAGAATTTAAACTAGTCTAATATTTGAGCATCTAAATTTGTTGCTAGTCTCGGAGTATTTAAACTGTTCTCTTAAATAACTATTTAGAATTTTAGATAATTTAATGCTGAGAAATAAATGGATCAACAATTGGCAGAAAAAATGAACTCACCATTATTGAAATTGTTGTCGTTATCAATAATGTTCTTATTGTTGTTGTTGTGGACGAGGGAGGTGGTAGAAGGGAGAGAGCGAAGGATGCCTGCTGGAGGAGGCGTAGACGGCGAGGTAATGGTGGTGGAAGTGACGGAACTCCTCCTTTCAGACTCTGGCTGCTGAGTGTGTGTCGGAGTGGTGGTGGTGGCTGTTGTTGTTGTAGTAGTGGTGGTGGTTGTGGTAGTTGTGGTGGCGGAGGCTGAGGGTAGCGTGTTAGTGGTGTGGTTATGAGAACCTGAAGGGATTGTGGTGTTGTTGGTAGTGTCATCACGGGCATAGAGTAAGTTGCGGTTGGAGGCTGAAGGAGAGATAGTTCTCCGGTACCTGCCCTCGAACCCCGTCTTCCAGTCTCTCCTGTGGGCCATGTAGGAATCCTTATGGTAGGTCCTGCAAAGGAAAATAAAAACGCCCATCAGAACAAAACTTTATTATAATCTATAATTCTGCATAGTAAAATACTTCCTTACGCATGAATAAGCAATGCAAAATGCTCGAAATAAATAAGGAAATACGAGTACATTAAGGCCGCAAGGAAATACATAACCGTATAAAAGACATTTAAATTTCATTCATTTAAACATAAAAACAGAACACAGTTATTAAGAATGATCTATATTTTCCATCAAACTTTCCCTAATCGTTGCAAGAATCAACAGCCTAGTTTGTACGGCAGACATATCAAGTCAAGAGGGGAAAAAACACAAACAGAAACATGCCATAGAAAGTAGTAATACGAGAGGGGCAAGGAACGCGTTTACAAGGGGATGGATGTTTCAACCAGTGGCTGGGTTAAAAACAAAATTTTCTATCCATGAAAAATAATGAAATAATGGGTCGGTATGAGGGTAAACTATCGACAGACACATTCCCGTCCGCAAGACTATGTAAGTAACTTTGAAATTTGAAAAGCACTTTTCATTCAACGCTCTTGGCAAGATAAAAAAAAATATACAAAAGAAAAAGATATAATTAACGAAGAAAAAATACGGTACTAGTATAATTAAAATAAAACATATAGGAATGAGTTAACAGACACTGGAGAAAACGGAGTTAAATCCAGGACACAGCATGTCTTGGCATGTAGACTAAAATAGCCCTGCAACCAGGCCCCATAATAACAACGGCCCGGTTTTATTAAATACATTTCACTGACTTCGTGCGCGTTCTACACCTCTTCGCCTGTTTACTCGTGACCGTGTGATAGTTGGTGCAGCGGCTGTAATTTTACCCATTTGTAGCCACATAAGCAGAGCTATCAAACCATACCATGCGCGGTATAGAACCCATCAGCG